TGCAAAAGAACCATTGCCATATCCGAGAAGTATACTTACAGTGTTGTCACCAAAATTAGCAACAACGATATCCAGCCGAGTGTCATTGTTGAAATCACCAACAGCTATAGATCGTGGCTTAGAGCCAGTTGAATAGGTAGTTCGATTTGTGAAAGAACCATTGCCATATCCGAGAAGTACACTTACAATGTTACTACCTGCATTAACAACAACGATATCCAGTCGAGTGTCATTGTTGAAGTCACCGACAGCTACAGAATATGGTGAAGAGCCAGCTGAATACTTAATTTGATTTGCAAAAGAACCATTGCCATATCCGAGAAGTATACTTACAGTGTTGTTGTTCGAATTAGCAACAACAATATCCAGCAGGCTGTCATTGTTGAAGTCACCGACAGCTACAGAAGATGGCCAAGTGCCAGTTGAATACGTAACTTGACTCTTAAAAGCGCCAGAATCAAATGCAACAAATATGTCTATATTATCAGTATTATCATAGGCGACAATAATTTCTGATTGTCCATCATTGTTAAAATCACCAGCAGTAACAACTACAGGAGCGAAAATCAAGTTAGATCCATCAGTTGATTGACGTGTAAATGTTCCCTTTCCATTTCCGAGAAGCATATCAATGTTTTTACTACCATAATTGGCCACAGCAAAATCGACTTGACCATCTTTATTGAAATCACCTGTGGCAAGTGAATCAGGATTTGAGCCTGTTGGGAACGTTGTCTGCTCTAAAAATGATCCATTAATATTTCCAAGAAGAACGCCTATATCATTAGTGCCATAATTAACGACGGCAAGATCTAATATCGCATCATTGTTAAAATCATCGACAGCAACATACAATAGACGAGAACCACCACCAGATGCAAATCTTATTTCACTTCCTAACGATCCTTTACTATAATGAAGCAATACACTTACAGTGCTGTTACCCTCATTAGCAACAACAATATCTAGCCGAGTGTCATTGTTGAAATCACCAACAGCTATAGAAGATGGCCAAGTGCCAGTTGAATATTTAACTCGATTTGCAAAAGAACCATCACCGTATCCGAGAAGTACACTTATAGCGTTGCTACCATAATTAGCAACAACGATATCCAGTTGAGTGTCATTGTTGAAATCACCAACAACTACAGAAGATGGAGTAGAGCCAGTTAAATATGTTGTTTGATTTGCAAAAGAACCATTGCCATATCCGAGAAGTACACTTACATTCTTATCACCATAATTAGCAACGAGGATATCCAGTCGAGTGTCATTATTGAAGTCACTAACAGCTACAGAATATGGCCAAGTGCCAGTTGAATATTTAACTTGATTTGCAAAAGAACCATTGCCATATC